ATTGATTCATTGTGTGTATGCTTATCTGTTTATAAAAGAATAATATATATTCTAAAATTATTGTGCCTTACTCATTACTGTCACTGCTATTATTTTCGTCACTACAAGCCGATAGTGGTTCTTTTGGTGTAGTGAAACGTCTATAGGCTTACGTTTGGTTAGTGAGGAATTTCAACAATAAACTTCTTTAAACAATTCGATAATGATTTAGTGAACAATATCCTACAATTTTATAATTCCCTGTTGAGCAATTCGCTGTTGGACAAATTTATGTAAATAATTCGATATTAACCAGATCATATGAGGTGCAACAGAAAAGGATCACAGACTCTCTACTTTGGAATCCAAACCCACTTCTCATCACGCCTCATCATCCTACCCGCCCACCCCTCTCCCTAAAAGCATACCTACGTCCTAACCATCAAAGATAGAACTGTACGAATAAGCTCTCAACTGTAATGCAAGCCATAACACATATCAAATACATATTAAGCCTTTTACCATTTGCATTCATGACTCGAATTATTCATTTCCAGAAGAATGCAAGGAGGCGCATCAGGCAGTTTTCATCCGCCAAGGAGCACAACCTGAAAAGTATGACGAACTCCTCCTAACAACGCAATTGGAGCAGCCGAAAGGTTATCATTCCCCAAGTGTGTAAGACCATAGGATATCACTTTCCTTTATTGTGACAGGGACAGGAATTCCAATACTGCTATGATTCTCATGGGCTCTGAAGAACTGACCATGATGGGGATCCTAGAGCCGGGAACCCTATGCTCATGGGAACCTCTAGGAGAACGTGTCATGTTCTACTGGTGTCTGCTGGTGCTATCGGCTCAACTGCATGCCATTTTCTTCGTCCTTACACAGTCAGTGAGCATCGAGACACTGCTTTGATTGTCTTTCATATTTAATGTATATTCCCCAAATAAGTACTTTTTGGCTACTGAATTATGTGTGTATGATATTACTTTAACTGACGTATGAATAAAATTATCGACGAAATCTTTTGTTACTTTTCATCTACCTGGCAAAGGAAGGGGCAACTGTCTTCTGAAACTAATATATATATTTTTTTTTTACCTGAATGTAACATGCCTGAATAACAACATGCTATTTCAAATCATTATCATCACCTGTGGATTATGAATAAATATCATTACCAGTTTCTCCATCCATCATTTATCTGTACCTGCCATTCTGCCAAGTTAGCACAACCTTAGAAAACCCCAAGGACTAATTTGTCTTTCTCTTTCCTTTACATCTATTTTAATCATAAAATTCCTTTACTCTAAACATATCAAAACTCTTGTCATCTTGTGCTTCTTCCACAATGTTAATCTAAGAATACTGTCACTTGCGGCAATCCATCTCCTAGAGCTTCTAAAATCAGGGTCTTAACAAATCTAATATTTTTAGTCCACACACTGCCTTCAATGAGCATACAAGATGGACTCAGCTGTATCAAATAACCCACAATCAATTTAACTATTTTCTGTCAACTCATAAACAGTTTTATAGTTCCTTATCCATAAATCCTTCTCCTTGCAATTTTTCTGCCCTATGGTTATTCTATACCATGTAGCAATTTTCTATTTTAAAAGCCAATGTATTAAATCTTTGCTCTTGTATTATTTCTGTGCTAATGAAACTGCAAATGGAAGAAAATAAACATTTGTGAAAATCATGCTTATACATCATGACTTGTTTTCCATGAAATGTGAGAAGCCTAAAATTACAAAAGGCCTTTCTTTGCCTGCTATATTCAACCGCCTGAATTACAAAAAAAACATTAAAAAATAACCAGAGTAAAGAATAACAAGCAAATACTATACATAACTTGTGAAACTCTGTGATAATACTTCACATGTCAATTTAGATGGATTCTACATAACCAAAAATTATAACATTTCATCACTTTACTTATCAAAATTTCATACCATAATTATTCTCAATTTTTTTGTATTAATCACAATGGATTATTTAACTGTTTTCACTACTAATGTTGAACAAGAAATGTGTGGATCTGTTCAAAATACTTAGTTGCATAATTATTTTGACTATCAGGCTATCATCAGTTTTGAGTCCGTGATATTAATTGCATTAGCATTCCAACTACTACATTTCACTATAGTACTCACATATGGTTATCAAAAACAGTTTTACATATTATACTGACAAAGAGTGGAAACAATAAATCATATATAGTCTGTAATGAATTGTTTTCAGATAAAGAAAACTATTACAGAATTGTTGTTCGCAAGCTCTTCATTGTAACTGATAATCAAATTGTGAAGTTCAGAATAAGGAAATAGAAATGAAAAAACAAAGACTTGGCTTTCACCATATTTAAAAAAAAAATCATTTAATATAAACAACTAAACTGATACAAAAGAATTCAACCAGACACGCACACTCACTTAAGCAAAGGGTTTATGGGAGGGGGGAGGGGGAGGGTGAAGCCGTCTGGATGATCTTGTGGATTGCGAGTTCTAGCATGTGGTGATACACTGGTGGAATGGAACTTTGCTATACGAAGTAATGTTGTAGCACGTGATGGTGGATGCGTATGGGGCAGAGGGACACCACCACGTTTTGGTCACTCATCCTGTTTGCAAAGTGTCAGAACCTGGCTCAGAATCTGTAGCAACAATAACATGTTCTCTGATCTAGTGGAGGATCCGGAGAATGTAGATTCTGTTCAAGAAAAGTCACAGGGATTCATATATGAAAAAATAAATAAATAAAATAGAAAATAAAAGTAAAAGCCTTTAGCCTACCTACCCTACCAAACTTCTTGAAACAGCATACATCTTCTGCACATAAAAAACAGCTAATAACAGTGTGACAAGACAACAAAATTATATCATGAAACATATAACATCATTATCAGTGGCATATGCACAGACAGAAACATATAATACATTAAATTCTTACTCCGTAACTTTAGTTTTAACTCTGCAGTACTTAACTCAGTCTTCAAGCCCAGTTCCCTCTGGTGGAGACGAAAGGCCGAATCTTTCTACATCTTGGCAGTGACTGCTGGTTATATGGGACAGATCAGAGTCTGCGCCTCGCTGTAAATTTTTTTGAGTAATTTTTGGGTAAGAATTTTTTTTATACAAACCTTAATTAATCTCCAGGTACTCGGTTCCCGTTCTAAACCTATCACAATGGATCTGACCAAGGAGGAAAGTGGGTCGCTTTATGTTTTTTTTCTCTCTCCCTCTTCTTTTTTTTTTCTTTTCCCTTTTAAGAACTAACTTGCCAGTCTGCATTTCCTTTTCATACTTTTTTTTTTTAAGATTAACCTAATTTATATATATTTTTTATTATTATTATTATTCTGTTATCTTTTAAAATGACCTGCCATGAATTCTGATCACTGACTTAATTTTCTCTCCAAGGAATCGCCACTGACTCTATCAAGAAAACCCAAAACTCAATTCAAGCAGGTAAAAGCAATAAATATGTGGCTAAATACAATTAGATAAATAGGTGATTAAATGAATAAATAAATAAATAAAAAGATAAACAAATTATAATTTCTATAACAGAGCAAGTGAGAGTAAAGCGTGAGAATAAAAAAGAATAAGGTCATACTAAGGGCATATGTACTATTAGGGTGCTTACACTATTTGCAAAATTAAAATGATGAAAATAATAAAAAAGGAACAATACAATATCAAAAAAAATCAAATCAGATAAAAAAAAAAAAATAATAAAAAAAAATATAATAATATATATATATATATATATATATATATATATATATATATATATATAAATAATGATACTCTTATATCACTTTACTACTGCTAGATTTCATATTGTTATTACTAATGATTGGTAAAATAATAACAATAATCATGATTATTAAAAAAAAAAAAAATTATACCATGATGATGATAGTGATGGTGATGATAATGATGATGACAGTAATAATTTTTTATTATACTGATAATGATAATGATGATAATAATAATAATAATAATAATAATAATAATAACAACAACAACAACAAAACACAAGTCTATAATTCATCATTCCTAACATTAATATTTTGAATCACTATTATCAATATAATTTTACCATTATTTTTCATTACCAATACCATTATATTACCATTACCATTACTGTCATTACTATTCTAACTTTCGTACACATTACCATTGTTCTTATTTTTTTTTCAAAATCATTCTCAGTGTCATTATGATCATCATCATTACATCACCATCATCATTAGGATCACTATCATTGGTGTTACTATCATCATCATTATTATTATCATCATAATTACCATTATCACTTACCATCATACTCATTATTGCATGTAACAATAACAATGACAATTTGCAAAAATTAATGAACACAATGTCATGGTATTAGTAGTAGTAGAAGTAAAAGAAGTAGTAGCAATAATAATAATAATAATAATAATAATAATAATAATAATAATAATAATTAATAATAATAATATAATAATAATAATAATAATAATAATAATAATAATAATAATAATAATAATAATAATAATATATTAATAATAATAATAATAATAATAATAATATATAGTAGTAGTAGTAGTAGTAGTAGTAAGTAATAATAATAATAGTATAATAATAGTATAATATAGTAATAATTATAATAATAATAATGATAATAATAATAATAATAATTAATAATTAATAATAATAATAATAATATAATAATTAATAATAATAATAATAATAATAATAATAATAATAATTAATAATTATAATAATAATAATAAATAATTAATAATAATATAATAATAATTAATAATAATAATAATAATAATAATAATAAATAATAATAATAATAATAATAATATAATATAATTAAAAAATTATAATAATAATCAAGCTAATAATAATTAATATAATAATATTAATTAATAATAATAATAATAAAATCATATATCATAATAGTAATAGATAATATGACAATATATCATAATATCAAGTGATAGTGATAGTCATATTGATAGTAATAGCAATAATGATGACAGTGATTATCATTATCATTATTAACATTATTACTATTACTAATTATTATTATAGGTAATAGTAATAATGATAATAATAATAATAACAATAATAGTAATATATTAATAATAATAATAATACATACTAAAAAACTACTACTAATAATAATAATATTATAATAATATAATATAATAATAAAATAATTAATAAATATGATAATAATAATATAATAATAATTAATAATATATGATAATGAATAATAATAATTAATTAATAATATTAATTATGTAAAAATGATAATAATAATAGAATGATCGATTATGATAATAACAATAGCAATGATAAGGATGATAATAAAAATAATAATAGTAATAATATAATAAAAATAATAGTAATAACAATAATAAAATAACAATAGCAATAGCAATAACCAAATCTAATATTGAATCCAAATTTCTCAGCACCTAACTACTGGCAACTGGCACCTCCCTCCCTGGTCATAAATAAAATAAATGCTGTCCAGTATAGCCTTTTAAAGCAACAGTGTTATTTGAAGTCAAAATCTTTTGCCAGCTGATAGATAATACACTGTATGAAGTTTCTGAACAGTTTACAAGACAAATCAGTTTGTTTGTTTTTTTAATCTTTTATTTTTTTTATTTATCTATTGAATTATTTTTTAAAATCTTTTATTTCAATTTTACGAGACTGGTGCCAAACTGGACAACATCCTCCATTTTGAAGTGTCGCCAACAGTCTCCTTTCCATGCGTGAGTAGCAATCAGGCACACTTTACTGACAAGCAACTGGGGAAAAAGTGAGCCCAACCACGGCCCACTCCACGAGGGAGACTGCTGGCACCGCTTCTTGTCGTGAAATGTACATCTCATGGCGTAGGCCAACACAGTTCAGTAGGTTGTCCCAGAGGTAAGCTAGCACACTTTTAAGGTTATTTTGCCTGAATATTGGTAGTTGTATCTAACCCTAAAGATCGAGCAGTAGCTTAACCTTCTTTCAACCTGTACATTGTTCCTTAAACTGGAAAAAAACATTTAAGACATTGTTCCTCTGAGTTTAGTATTATCGTATGACTGATTGCATTGAATTGAGGTCATTTGAGGTCTCCACTGTTACCTATCAAACCATCAGTCATTGAGAAGTTCTCTTTCTACTGAAACCATGAAAAAAAAAACTATTTACAACTTAAATGTACCTCAGTATCATGGCAAACTTGTTCATAATCAGTTATACATAGATATCTCTATTCAACACTTGCACTTGTAGCACAAATCTCACAAAAGTTTAGTTAAATGTGGCAGTTTACAGCTGTACCCTCTGGAAAAGAGGGAAACTAATCCAAATCTTTCACGTCATTAACAAGAGACAGGCAACATTAGGGTGCAACCTCTCTATTGCAATGAGATACAGATCAACTCGAAAACTTAAAATCAATAAGAATAAGGGCAAGACACCATAGTTGTCATTTACTTTATAATCAAGTGTATAAAAAAAAACAAAGCACAAAGAAATTTTGTTCATAGGAAATGGAATATGTGTTGCATTTAATCTAATAGAAAGTAATGATAAACAACACAGGGATAATATGAACTTCTTGAGGATAGGTGTACCTGTAATGCTAATATTGATAATGTTGCAAACTCAAAATACATACATTAACTACACTGTTGTTGAAAACCAGATGATACACCAAACAAATAGCCAAACCAACATGTATTTTTTTTCTTTTTACATTGGACATGACAAAAAAAAATCTCTGTGTACAATCTGACACCCTTGTTAGTTGTATGAGATGGTACTGGATTAAATAAGTTAATAAATAGTTAAATAGATAAATAGATGAGTCTTGGTTAATTTCCCCACAACGTCAGGGTGTTTTTAGTGTGTCTAACAGGGCTTACAGACAGATCAGTTGTTCTACGACCCATATAAAATATTTAATGCAGTCATGTTGAATATTTTCTCGGTGATATAAATAGGTTCAGATGACAAATTTTTTAAAAATTCCTTCTTCATATACTTTGAAAATCATTTCTTTGGATTCATTATTCTTTCACCAATTCTAGAAGTTCAATTTTAGGTCATTAGCCAATGTCTAGGAAATTATTTAGCTTGACATTCAACCTTTTCACCTTCATTTTAAGAGAATTCATAATTTCTAATTTCATTCACTCTACCAATAACATTCTGTATATACTTTTCCTCTCTCTTTTAAATTGCTTATGATCTTAAAATTGTAAATGGATCAGCACACTTTTCCCTTGGGTTACGACACTAAAAGACACTCAAATCTGACTTCACAAGAAAACCTAAAATCAAAAAAAAAAAAAAAAAAAAAAACTTAAAATCAGAAGTCATGGAAATCCTTACGATACAGAAAGTAACATGCAAGTAGGAACTGCTTGTTTGGTTGCCTTTGCCTTCTACAGTTAGTCTTCTACATGTTTTATAATCAGAAAATATCAAGTCTATAAGTCAGAAAATGTCATGTCTAGATCTACATTTTCCTTATATCATCTCAGCACTTCAAAGATTTTTGCAAATCTGTATCATGTCAAGAAGGTGTGAGTTTAATTAGCCTTGCATCAAGCTCTTATCTTACCTTCAGTGAGGAGGGAAATTTCTTATCATACAACCAAGAAAGCCATAACCATTCCTTTTTATATTTCTTTTTTTATATCTGTGTATAAGCCCTAATATGCTTTTTGTCAAATAACTTGCCAAGTGTGTATTAATAATCCCTTACAAGGAAGTTTACTAATCATCAAAGAAGTGTATTACTTAAGCTTCAAACACCAAGGCAAAAAGTGCTGAGAGAAGACTTGAGATGTTCCTTGTGCTGGCAACACATTCAGCTACAGCATTTATTGAATATGGAATGGAGGGATGGGAAAAAGTAACAGCAGCATAAGACATATAATTCCACGTACGGAAAACTCAACAAACACAACAGTTCCATAACTTAACTCTTGCATAAGTTGAGGACTTGATATACATTCCTGAGTCTCATTGGGTTAATCATGATGACAATTGTTACTGCTTTCTGATAGCTCATTATAACTACAACAAATGGAGTTTTTTCACATCCTTAAAGCAACAGCTACATGTAACTAATAATCAGATCTTATGCTTGTTTGTTCATTATAATGTCAAATAATACTAATAGAGCATCATATACAGCAGTTTTAGTCCTCCTCATTTGCCGATTATATTATTCTGGCAATTACTAATGTTTTTTGACAAAGATGAACACAAAACATCTTGCCCAAATTTATTTCAGGTGAAAGGAAAGGAAACAACTACATTTACTACCTTGAATGAAGACTTATATGCAGTTAATCCCCTCACTGTGGCTGGCCTGTGCCTGGACCTGAAATGTGTGCCTCTATCTATTTCCATGGCTTGCTCTTAATTCAGAAAGGCCACTGTTAGTTTTTAGGATTAATGCAAAACTGAATTCATTTTTTTCTGCTTTACAATTCTCAGAACTTACATTCAACAGGCAATTATTAGTATATTAAGCACCACAATCACAGGATTATCTGGATAAACCATCTCAAAATACTTAATTTGACGAGAGTAAGTATTCTAATATCAATTTATGAAAGCTACATTTTTTCCCACTAACTCAGCAAGAGATGACTGGACCAAAACTAGAATGAGTCCATTTCCTCTAAATTCAAATTCCCTACAAAAGGTTGACACAAAAAAAATTATTTCATTTTGTTCTAATAAAATTCATTTGTCTTTTAAATGTTCCGCAGTGTCAAGTATCAAAATACCTTGTGCAAAGTGCATCACATTATGTCATTTTTTTCTAACAAGTCACTATGCCTGGCTATGATAAGAGGTAGTTTGATAGAACTTGGTGAAATCAAAAGCTTTTACATTCTACTGCTTTCAGTTCAGTTTACAAGAATCCCACACATACACTTCCAATGATGAAATTTGGAATGAACACAGAAATATGAGTATGCAGACATATTACAGCTTGCTCACACATACACATGCACACACATCCATGTATGGATAGCAATGCACCCATATTTAAAACACAAACCCAAAAACATAAGCACACACACACACACACTTCTCACTCACTCATACACACAATTCTCACTCACTCACACACACAATTCTCACTCACACTTCTCACACACACACACACATTCTCACACTCACACACACACACACACACTCACTCACTCACTCACACACACACACACTACTCACTCACACACACACACACACACACACACACACACACACTCACTCACACACACACACACACACACACACACACACACACACACACACACACACACACACACACACACACACACACACACACACACACACACACACACACACACACACACACACATACTGATAGCAATGCTCTTTTCATGTACAAACAAAAATTGGCACACATGCAATTCTGACATAATCATTGTCACGCCATGAAATCTAAATGGCATAAGGGTTCTGAACCATTTTCTTTTCCCCGTTGATGCAAGATATTTGGGAAAGCACAGGATGTAGGAATTTCTACAAGGAAGTTACCAAGAATTCTACATGCAGCCAAAGGATTTTTCTGCTGCTCTGGGTCTTCTGAGATCCTCTAAAAATTAGGTTAATGAGCTTCCGCACCGCAGGACTCAGGAATCAAGAGGCGTACCCAAATCTTGCTACCGATCAAGGCACAGGCAGGATTTCTTGTGATAAGACTGATACCTAAGAAGGCAGAAGGACTGGCATTGAACTATGTTATTCTCGCTAGCAAACTCTCAACCCATTTTGCACTAGAGTGTGTGATTGTCACACATGTCATTCCAGATAGCAAAATTAGATCTTTCCACTGGTAAACTTGAAACATCCATATTTTTTTTTTCTTTTTTTTTTTTGGCTTTGTAATGGTTCACAACACTTGTTTTACACTGAAGCTCTCTCTATGGACTTCTTGTACCTAAGTTGCTCCACAGGTTGTATAGTATGTACTAGACTTGGTTGAAAGAAAGGAAAACAAAATGGGAAAACTTCTGTTACAGTGTTCATATAACAATAAAGTCCATTCTTTAAAGGTATATAAAAAAAGACTATAAAATAAAATAGGTTTGAAAGCCAATACAAAATCCATTTTTTCTTAAACAAAAAATTTAATGAATAAAAATAGTAAATACAAAAAAAAAGGTTACGAAATTCCTTAATTATACTCAAGGGAAACAGTAGACCAATGACAAAACATCTGGCACATACTATACGCCATTGGTATATCTGCTCACATTCACTTCGGTGAAACTCTATTGGACTGAGACGATGAAATTAAATAGTCATATAACACTACAAGTTCCTTAAAAAATGAGGCTGGGATTTCACACATTCTGGACACAGCCTAAGACCTTTATAAAAGCAATTTAGTTGGCATGTTTCTTCCTTTTTCTTGTATACAAAAAATGCACTTAAATATCACAGTATCATTATCAAGAGTGCTTTCTTCAAAGGGCTTGGGGGTGGGAACTGAATAAATCTTACCAAATATTCACAGCCTTAAGCTGAAACATCAAAATACATTTTGAACGGCTTTTATCCACACAGTCGCAGAGCGGTGAAGGCAGTGAAGCGCAAAGTTTTATTCAGTCTCCACACACACACACCTGTATTTGGAGACCAACCTTAACCTGAATCTTAACTTGGGTGCACCACTAATGTTCTTTGTCACTTAAAAGAAAGGAGGAAAAAAAAAAAAAAAGATTCTAAAACAACATCACATTACCAAAAAGTTCAAATTTACAAAGACACCGTAAAAATGTTACATAATAATCCCACTTCTTATGAGAGAGAATGTATTTACACTCAACCACAGGTGAATGATTATTATAGTTTGCTTCTGTTTCCTGAAGGTAGTGTACCATGTGGCTTTATCTCTGGTGAATGTCTGAAAAATAAAAAAGTCAATGTAAGTACTTTCAAGAAAATACAGTTCAGTACATGACATTGTACATTTTCTCCCTAAGGCACTTGAATTTACACATACATCAACCAAGCTATCACAACACATGAAAGTCCATATTATAAATATTCAATATAATCAATCAAAATACACATTTACAATAACAAAAAAGAAAATTTAAATTATAGGTATAGAACAATCAGGTATCTTTACATTTTGTTATTTTCATATTTCAATTAATAATCTAAGAATAATTCATACATCTTAATTTCAGGTGTGTGAATATATGTGTATTTGTAAAGATGCATATACATATGCATATTTATATGCATATATGCATATACATATGTGCATAATCATGTTACCTCTACTCACTTTAGCGAATACAAAAAATAAAGAACAGGTCTTGCATTCATCAAGGATACTGTACAATATTTCATTGAAATACCAGTTGAATTCAGCAGTAATACGATCAGTATGACCAAACAAACCTATCTATGCTATTAAAGAATTAGACATCACCACATCACAATCTCTTTTATCTAACACTAACCTCTGCAAATGGTCTAGTGTAATTAGAAATGCCTCACTGTAGTTTAGTTGCTACAATGCTCGGAGTGTTCCTCCCACGCGGCAACCTGCAAACGGGGGAAATGAGGAATGTGATTAATCTTGGCTGCAATACCTCCTTTACAAAAGCTAAAAAGCAGAAATGAAAAAACTTCTATAAAATTCCTGTATCAATGGAAAGTTTCCATAAAGGATCTGAATCACCAACTATAGATCCATTAAAAATATGAAGATTAAAGGCAGCAAAATTTTCAGCGATAGATCTAAATACATTTTCTCGAAACTGATAAAGAAAAAGAAAAAGAAAAAAAAAATGCCCAGCAAAACATATTAAGTCCAACACATACAAAAAATTTCTGACCAACAACAAGAAAACATAATAGACACTGGCACTCACCTGACATTCCCTCGAGCAATACCACTGGTTCCCACAGCCAGCACACACAAACTGAGCTCTCTGTTTGTGGCAACCCTGGCACTTTGGGTTGCCACCGCCCTCTTCCGAATGGTGGCTGGATTTCTTGCTCCTGCTCTCAGACTGGAACAGACGGACATTATCATTATCTATCATATATATCAGCGAAAAGTACACAACACTAATTCAGAAACCATAAATCATATAAAACGACACAAACTTCTAGTACATAGACAGTAAAGTACCAAAATTATGAGAATTAAAAAAAAAAAAAATTAGACCTGCTAGTGAAAAAAAAAACCTTCAATTATTCACTTATCGCAAGTTCATCAGTAACTTGCATACAAAAATATTGACATCCAAATAAAGTAAACTAAAATTACTCCTATCCAAAAACAATCCCAA